CTCTATGTAGCTGTAAAATGCCGAACAGGCAAGTACCATGACATCCACATTTCGATTTATGCTCTTTTATATTTTACCCATTTTCTATAGACTTTATAACCCAGCCTTTAACCATTTTCCCCAAATTGTACACTTATAACAAAATAACAAAATCCATTTTGTATTCACTGGTTTAGCCGATAATTATTTAACGCGGCACTGTCATGCTAAAACTCAGCTTTGTCCTATTGTTTCCTCCTCTCTCAGAATCTGTTCTTCTTTTCTAACTTTTTGATCTAGTTTTCTTTAAAACATTAGATAAAGTAGGGGCCACTGTGTCTCCTGTATTTTTCCTATGTGAATTTTACCCAAAATACTAGACATGTGCAATTTGTTTAGTTCCGAATGCCAATTCAGACGAATTTCTTAAATTCGGATGCTTCCAAATGTCCGAAGTGGCAGATTTCGGAATGCCGAACCGAACCGAATTGCCGAAGTTCCGAAGTGGCGAATTTCAGAATGCAGAACCGAACCGAATTGACGAAGTTCCGAAGTGGCGAATTTCAGAATGCAGAACCGAACTGAATTGCCGAAGTGCTTTGGATTTCTGAAAAGTGGCAAAACAGGAGAGGGTTGGGGTTAGGGGTTGGGGTAAGGTTAGGGGCTGGGGTAGGGTCGGGGTAGGGTTAGTGGTTGAGGTAGGGTTAGGGGTTGGAGTAGGATTAGTGGTTGGAGTAGGGTTAGGGGTAGGGTTAGTGGTTGGAGTTGGGTTAGGGTTAGGGTTAAGGGTTGGGGTAGGGTTAGGGATTGGAAGTCCCGAAGTTCCAAAGTGTCGAAGTGCCGAAGTTCTGAAGTGCTGAAGTCCCGAATTTCGGAATGCCGAACCGAACTGACTATTTTTCCCATGCACATCCCTACAAAATACTACTGCCTCCTTTCACTATTCCTGAAGGTCCTGTCATATAGACAGGCCTCTGGCGAATTCTTTCAGTCAACTTTCAGCCAACTTTACAAATACTAAGTAAAAATGACTAACCCCCTAGCTATAAAACTAAACCGGGGACTTAGTGTCCCCATCCAGTCCCTACCCACTAGCGGCAGGTGGCGACATGCCGCTACTTGTGGCATAATGAGTAGGCTCAGGACAGGGATTTTATATTGGCGGGGAGCACAGTTGAAATTTGTTCATTCTTGGAAACTTCTATCCGTTCATTCGTCTTTCTGACGAATTCCTGCCCAAATTTCTAACAATAGCGAATGCCCAAGGGTTATACTGGGCATGCATGGAAATTTCACTGTGCTATCTGGTGTGCGCAGATAATGTGTCCCACAGGGCCTTCATCTGCCCATACAAAGATGGCAACGGGCATGAAATGGGGGACCTCAGTGCATTTGTGGGTGACCAGGGGGACAATCAAATGTAGTAGAGTTGGGAGGGGGGACAGATGCGGCCATGACAGTGCCGCTTTAAGATAGGATATTTTGTTTTATAGTCAAGTCTACTTTCAGTGTTATGTTTTGCTTTAGAGAAAAGTAATATTTGCGTGTAAAGCGATATTCTTTTGCTTTATACATTTATTAGTGATAATACAGGAACATTAAAACACGGCTCACTTTGTCTTGACAAACGCTATCACAGACAAAGCATGAGCAAAGAAAAGAACAGTGTTTCAATACTAGAAAAAATGTCCTTAAAATAATCACATAATAAAATCATTATTTATTAGGTATCTTAAGATATAAAACACATAAAATAATTAAGTTGTTCTCAGCAACAATGAAGCGCCATCACCGAGTAAGGAACGTTAAAGGAACACTATAGTCACCTAAATTACTTTAGCTAAATAAAGCAGTTTTAGTGTATAGATCATTCCCCTGCAATTTCACTGCTCAATTCACTGTCATTTAGGAGTTAAATCACTTTGTTTCTGTTTATGCAGCCCTAGCCACACCTCCCCTGGCTATGATTGACAGAGCCTGCATGAAAAAAAAAACTGGTTTCACTTTCAAACAGATGTAATTTACCTTAAATAATTGTATCTCAATCTCTAAATTGAACTTTAATCACATACAGGAGGCTCTTGCAGGGTCTAGCAAGCTATTAACATAGCAGGGGATAAGAAAATCTTAATTAAACAGAACTTGCAATAAAGAAAGCCTAAATAGGGCTCTCTTTACAGGAAGTGTTTATGGAAGGCTGTGCAAGTCACATGCAGGGAGGTGTGACTAGGGTTCATAAACAAAGGGATTTAAGTCCTAAATGGCAGAGGATTGAGCAGTGAGGCTGCAGGGGCATGTTCTATACACCAAAACTGCTTCATTAAGCTAAAGTTGTTCAGGTGACTATAGTGTCCCTTTAATTTAACAGCATGACAGGAGGCTTCATAATTTGCATTAAACTCTCTTTACTGAAATCCAGCAGCATAGATTAATCATAAAAAGAAACCAATCAGAAACAGGCTGATAGAGGATATAAGGACCTCACAGCTCAAGCACCTCCTATTTCTTTGCTGCTCCTGCTGTGCACAGGTCAGAGTATTTTGTTTCTTTGTGACTAATTAAACTTATTGCCATTTTTCTTAGATTGATTCTGTTTTATTATTTCTGTGTCCCCCTTGGTTTCCCCGCCCTGTCTGCTCCTTGTTCCCTAGGTTTCTAACGTTAGTTCTGTCATCTCTCATCTCCTTGTATTTTGCTCTCTTAGGCCTGGGCCTTCTGGCTCTTCTGGCCTGTTATTCTCTGTTCAAGCCTTACAGCGGTCGGTGCTGCGATCATGTCGATTTTTTCATACTGGGCTGTCTGGTTTTACGGTGTTTGTAAAGGGGTACCTCGGGTGTTGGGGGCACGAGGCAATCTGTAATTTTTCACCAGCAGGCCTTTGCCGGCCACTGCGCATGAATGGCGGACATCTTGAATCTTGCTAAACCCGCAGGATTTACAGAGGCCATCTTTATTCTCGTTGCAGATCATGATTCACACGGATCGACAGAAAAGATTGGCACCAGACCAGACCTCACACAGATTCATCAAGAGAGACCGCATTTATTCATTACGAGCGGACGCAATTACTTTCACTTTCCATGTGAGTGGCCGAAACATATTCTATCGGCAGAGCACGCTCAGCTCCGGCAGCTAACAACAAAGGAGACCCCCCCAAGTAGCAAGATAGCCACAGGGGGAAAAGGATTTCATCTCCACTACCCTGTACAGCTCCACAACGGGACTCCCTGGCAGTCAGCCAGCAGCACATACTATTTGGATAGTTTGTAGCAGTAACAGCTTCAATACTCAGCGCTGCAGCAGACCTTACTCTCTTCAAATGTAATCAGAAGGATGTCAGCACAAACACATCCCCAACAGTAAGCTGTCACCAAACTATACATGGCTGGACTTTCACCCCCCCCCCACCCCCCACCACCCCCTTTTTTTTTTTTTTCAGTAGTCAGATTTTTTTCTGCCATTCCACTCTCATTTTTATTTTTATTTTTCCATATTTTTTTTAATCTTATTTTTTATGGTATATTTCTATTTTACCTTATATTTCATTAATTGACACAGTCTTTTTTTTTGCTGTATTACTTAGTAGTGTGCACACTCAGTATAGCAATAATTATTATTGTACAAGGCTTTTTTTGTCATTGTATTTTAATAAATGTTTATATGTTTATTATCAACATGTGATTAGACTGTATTTTTTGCGCTACCGTAACCATTTTTAGTGTTCACGCGGACTGGGCTTACTACAGGCAATGGTTTTTTTCACTATAGGACACCATCTATTACTTTCAAGGTATTTTGTTCTGGGACATTTCTTCTGCTATATCCTGCATGTGAAAAACTGTTGAAGATTTATGCATGCCACAAATTTGTTACTGTACCACAAAACATGGGAGGATTTATGCCAAGCTATACTGTGACCTCCTGGGGTGACCCCCTCATGCATTTATATTGTCGGCCCTACTAAGGCCATATATTGATAGGGGTGACCCCACCCTTCCTGATACCATACCAATTAAGGTAATTTTTCTGAGCTGTGTAACAGGGATATTACTGTATCACAGCTCCACTGTACAATTGGGGATGACCCCAAACACCATTTCATATACCTAGCCCCACTGTTGGGTTAGTCCCAGTTGGACTAGGAGCCTGGCACGCTGTGCTTTCTCGCATGTCCTTCACCCTCTGACTAATTTGTTTCTTACGGACAGGACACTCTTACACGCTGAGCATGGGTGACTCACCTCAACCCACTCAGGAAATGATCAATGCTACCGTAGCAGCATCAGTGAAGAAGGTACTCTTGAAGATGCTGACCCACATTCTGCTGGAATCTGCTAGTCAAGGGGTGACAATGCCGCACGATCTAAAGGATGCCAGGGGCTCCGAGGTCTCCAGGGATTACATGCCTTGACTAAACGCCACTGGAAAGGGACTGGCTCGACTTCCCGTAGGTCTACACTTCACGTAGTGTACCTATAATCTCAATTTTAGTGTCCTTAATTCAATTATGCTCGTGTCTGGATGCTGACATTTTTTCAGATGTTTCTGATTGGTTGTTTTTTTCTTATGATCTGTGCTGCTGGAGTTCAGTAAAGAGAGTTTAATGCAAAATATTCACCTCCAGTCGTTACTAAAATTAATATTATAGGTACACTACGCTGGTATAATCTACAATTCCACCTCACAGTTTAATGAGAAGGACCCAGGATGGACCAAATGAGACAGTTTGGGCTCACTAGGTTATACTGCGATCTTCACTCCTCTCTTCCTCTCTTGTTTTGTTTGTTACATATTTTCATTTGATGTTCGTCACTTTCAACACGATTGCATCTTTTGTGCTGTATTTTTGTGCTATGTGAGAGTTTATGTAAATAAAAGAAATGGAATCATTCTTTTATAACAAATAACAAAACTACACTCTGCATTTATTTTGACACTGAACGGCATCATCTTTCGATAAAGAAACAACAAGCAAAACATCTTCCTCCATCATCAATTTAATTTATTGAAAGAAAATCAGACCTGTCTCGTGTGTGCTAGATGGGAGCTGTCAAATTCTGCAAACGTCAGAAGAAACGGCAGCTGGTTTAGCTTTAATGGTCACGTCTTCTGCATGATAAGTGAAACCTGAAACCCCAACAGTGAAACGTGAATCTGAAATGGTAATAGGGGCTCACTGCCATTAGCATGTCTAATGGAGCTTCCAATCAAGAAGTCACCTTGATGTTTAATAAGTCATAGCATTAAAATTCTGTGTCATTATTTCAGCTGTGGTTTGGAGATAAGAGAGATTGTAAACAGGCCCATCTGGAAGTCGGTCTAACTCCCATTTACATATGGTTATTATTTCGAAAGGCTGACTGTCTGATTGTAGCTTCATAAATCATTTCACTTATCGTGCATTAATTTCTAAATCCCATTTATACTGGTGTTTACTCTTCTGATTACAGCGGGGTGTTTATAATCCAACTTTTATTTCTGAATACTCAGTTTCTCAAAGACCACATCTATTAAATATTATCAAGTGTGCTCCTCCGATTCAGTCAATAACTCAAAAAAACAAAGCGTGAGAAATATTAACTGAAAACAGATAACTGCTTTCTGTACTGTGAGTTCACATTCAGAAAGTCCCAGTTGAGGTTTGTATTGCTTATACCATTAGAGAGAGAGATCCATAGAAGATAAAAAAAACAAGAATACTGAGAACGGACAACAGCTCAATTAGCCTGCCCTTCGGTGGGTCCCCGCTGAGATCTCAAGCTGGTTTTGGCTCATCTTGTGCCATTGCATATTAAACTGATCCCACCCAAAATGGCAGATCAGATCCAAAATGCCGTTCGTCTCTCCCTCTGCACGAGATATACAGCAACCCTGGATGATCGTTTCAACCTTGTTAGGCATCGTCAGTGAGGTTTAGCCGATATTTCTCTAGGTATCCATGTGTGATATCTCCTGGTTTTTCTTTGTCTGAAATAGATTATGATGTAATTTGCTAAATCTTTAATATACATTGAAAAAAAAAAATGTGTCTTGTGATAATAAAGGTGATCACAAGTTATAGATGATTTTCAATGTTTTTTTCAGAGGTGGCAGTTCCTGTTTAAGGCATTTTTGTAATTCTGGTCATTCAATAACATTATTGCTCAATAAATGTAATACAAGTGTGCAAAGACATGAGAACTATGAATCAGAAATCCTTGTTATGTTTTTGTGTGTAGTTAAATGGTGAAAAAAACTAAAGAAAGCACATATGAGGCTTTTTCACAGTCACGGCTGCCTGCAAGGGGCACGCTAGAATAAACATTAAGGAATTGTACGAAATGTTTCCTTGTGTTGTTTGGGATGAAAGAGAAGATGGCACATGAAGCGTTGCTGCCTTTCAGAAGCAGAAAGTACCGAAGGCATCCTGACAAGAGAGATGGAATGAAGAAAGAACGTAGCAAACAAAAATAATAAAGATTTAAAGTGACGCACGGCTACCGAAATAGGAAAAAGAAGAACACAAAAAGGCAATTGTATGTTTGTTACAAGAAAATGTTTCAAGTGAAAATCGTTACCGTAGGAAGCACTAGGTTTAATGGTGTGTAGCTGCTGCTTAATACAGGGATTTGTGAGTACAGTATGCAGATTTGCATAGGGATTAGAGAAAGAGTCGGTGTGCTCAGGGAATGTTTGCAATGTTTTTGTGAAGTTTTCCTTTAATTGCTAAAATGGCTGTCGTTGTCCTTTGTGGGTAGCAATTGTTTCCTAAATGTAAAATCTCACCATTGCTGACTCTCAATTACCATCTCCCTTCCTGTATAGTGGGAGCCACTAACTACTCGCACTTTTACAGCTCCCTCTATCATTTGAGACCTTCCTCTGGTAGGAGGAAACAAACAAACTCAAGTTAACAGCAACAAACACCCATACATCCTATAAAGAGAGTTAAACAGCCCTGTCTACTAACAAATACAAAAAATATAAAAAAAAAAATTTTTTAAAAGTGGACGCAAGTATTACCAGATCAGGGATAAAGAGGTGACTGTAGCATTAGTAAATATGTATTCCTGATGCTATCATGCCCTAGTCACAGTTTAGTGCCTTAGTCAGGGTTAAAAATGTAGTTTACTTACCATTTCTCCCTCACAGCATTGGTCTTCTCAGTGTAGCTCTGCCTCCATGGGATCATCAAGATCCATGATCTTAGCCAATCAGATGCTCTCCTACAGGAAACAACGCACTGCGCCAAAACTTTACTCCATTAATTCTTAAATACGCTTCTAGTGGCTGTCATCATGAAAACATTGCCGTTCTGCAGATGGCATCCAGACCACATCATAAGAGTGAAGCGGTCTGTGTGCCTATAGAGTCCCTTTAATTGTAGAGGGTGATCCATGTATTACCAGGAATTACCACTGCGTGAAGCTATGTCTGGAGCTTACGTGGACTGTGAATGAATAAATAAATAAATAAATACATGTTTTTTGAGGGATTGAGGTTGGAAACTTGTTTTTCATATGTGGCCACTAATATCTACTGATTGTTAATAACTGTTTACTTCAGATATTTAACCACAACGTTGGCGCAAGTCCTTATGAGAGTAATGTTCAATCACAAAGTATGAATTTTAGTCTGTACCTCTCTGTTATTTGTTTCTCATTTATTGACAACTTATAGAATAGGTGTACAGACATAGATATATTGTGAGTTCATCATATTACAAAATGCAGAATACAGATAAAACCACAATATAATAAATCAGCCAAATAATAAAGGCAAAGAAACAGTGATTGGTTTTCATTTAGATCAGAAATATTCTTACAGTATATAAAAATAGAGAAATAATTAAGAAAATACATGGAGTAACAACAGAATGAAAATCATTTAGAAAGAGGAAAGAGAAATGGGTAAATGAAAAGGGGATATTATTAAAAAAAACATTCAAAATAAACCTTACAAGTTCTGCAGAGAACATTGTACTTCTGTTAGAACAGAACATTGCACGGGGCATACGGCTACAATGACAAAACGTCAACTTATTCTCTAAAAAATTGATTGGAGATTTTCATTTCCAAGGTTTACACTATAAAAGTGGAATAAGTATGAGAAAAACAAAATAAACAAACACAGCTAGCTTTTCCAGAACTGATTTCCATCTTCTTTTAAACACAGTAAGATACGGCTAAAAATATAAATGTTTTTATAATGTATTCTCAGATCAGAACACCTCACTATGGTAACATGTAGGGAACTGCGAAAAGTGAGAAGAGGGGCAGCAACAAAACGGAATTCTAGTGTTAGAAATTACTACAAAGAAATAAAACAGGTGTTAAAAAAAACTATACAGAAATAGCAAAATTTTAATAAAATACAAGTTAAATATAAAAATATATCTGGTGGGCGGACAAAACAATATAACGTTTTCTGTAATAATTACATTTTGGATTAAGATAAATCTGCAATAAAAAAAATGATACCAGACACAATCATTGTTCAAAATGAGTGAAAATAAAGGAAGAATTTAAAACATTTCTCACAATCAAAAGATACGTTATTATTATTATTATGACCTGACCCCCTGTTTCATATATTTATCCTCTATTTTCAAAAGGGAAAAATGTAAAACCTGCAAATCATTTCAGTAAATCTGAAAAATAGCGATATATTTAAAGAGTCGCTCCCAGTTGGACCTGACCCCCTGTTTCGTCAATGTGTTAGATAATGAATTAAAATATTGCAGAAAAGGACTAATATTCTTGTGTTTGCTGCATTTCACCAGGATTTGCAGCCTCCTGCGGTGAGACCTGCCCAGTTTAGGGAGTTGGAGCAATCCATGAGTGAGGGTATTGGGTTATAGGATGATGCAGTTCAGCACTTGATAACAGTTCCTTTCATCAGAAACTGTGTTAGAACTGCTGCCCAATCTAATAGCCCATTCGTGGTTTCATGAAATGAACGGAAGCTTGATCTGAAACTTTATAGATTATAGATGTAGCCGTGCTACTGGCAAATCCACGGGTGGGCACCTGGGCTCACAGGGGGACCACCAGACTGAACCAGCATAAGTCTGCTTGGAGATGGGGTGTTGTGGCATGTTAATAGTCCTGAACTGAATAGGGCAGTGGCAGACCGTTATAAATTGTCCTGCCATGTGGGAGTGCAGACAAGGGGGTGACCTCCCACTAAATCTAGCGCATCCCTTCTTCACATTATGTCCAAAAATAATTTTGATTTTGACTAAAGGAATATATTATCCTTTTAATGGAGTACAGCATTTTAAGTGTGACTAAAGGACCCGGTATTGGTTGATAGAACTCGAATTAGAGTATGTATTGTATGTTGATAGTCCTGTCGTCACTTTACGTGGGCCAGTAACAATTACTCCTTTTACCATTCTCACGGAAACAATAGTAAACAAGTAATTTGTAGTCACTAATATGTACCAGTTGTTGTTTACAATAACGGCTTACGGCAGATAATTACCAGTGAGAATTGGCACGAGCCTATGGTGGCCTAGGATCCATTTCTGGTAGCAATGATTGGGACTCACTTTATTTAGATATCTACCTTTAGTTATCATTAAATGAAGGGAAACTGTAGGCCTGATTTCTAGTGTCTGAGAGCACCGGCGAGTTATAAAGACAAAAGTTTAAATATACTATAAGTATACAAAGGGCAACAAGAGTATTCAGTGGCCCGGAGAGAGCACTGGCTGGCAGATATTGTGAGTTACTGGTTGGGAAGTGAGACTGTTATAGCTCTCCCTTTGCACAGAGGAAAATGGGAAATAAATGAAATACAATTCCAGGATGAGAGCGCTAGCTATGAGACAATCTACTCACCTATCTAGAATTCCAGAACGTACAGTAGGACGAGGGCCTGTGGTGTAACTCCATTAGCGGGGGAAGAAAGGTTCACAGCAAGTAAGATTTACAAGCCAAGAGTGAGGGTGTAACAAACCTGGCTACGGCATAGTCCGTGCTTATTACAAGGTGATGGGGTGGATGTGAGGGGACAGAGAATTATATTACGGGGGAGTCAGTTTTCATCTATGGGGCATTTTGATGGGGTGAATTTCATCCATTCGATAATTTTTGGTAAAACGATTCAAACAGAACATGATATAAATATTATGAAATATTTTACACATAAATACACAGATAGGAGCATTTTCCTGTCATTTGTTTAACATATAAGTGAGAAGAAGTGACCGATAGCGGAAAAATTAGGAGGAGCAGAAAAACAATTTATTTATTTAC